ATCCCCTCCTGTTTAATGACACTTACAGACCCAAGTAATCATCCGGAAAGACAGAAGTGTCCAGATTTCTGATAATCTGGCATCTTCCCCAGCCACGGAGGCACCGTGCACCCTCCATAATTCCCTGAGCGGGCAGCTTGCTGTCCTCGAAAGGTGAGGTTTATTCAGGGCCAAGTATTCAGCAAGTAAATACTTGACTGTGGCACGCAATGGTGTCATGCTATGCTCATGTTCTGGCATTTGCTTGTTACCCAATCCCTGCACACTGTACATAGAGGTCTCTTCACTTCACTGAAACTTCTAATGAATGGAGACCTTCTCTGGTGACCCTTGAAGGCTGGGGCAAACATTCTCTTTGTTTTCTTCGTGCTTCATTTGTTCTTTCCTCCCCTGTCCCCTTATCTCATCATTCCTCTTCAGATAAGGGAGAAATGCAGCCTACTGATAATCAGAGATACACCAGCCAGGGGGCATTTGGTGATTGGAGACTGGCACCAATTAGAAGGGGCTGCCTCCCAGATGAATGACATGTTAAGTCTCATCAGGATGAAAGCTGCTGCTGTGCACAGACTGGATGCAGTGAATTTGCTGCTTCTTCCTCATCCTGTGGCATTCCCACAGTTTCTTGGAGGCTTTGTCTGTTGTCTCTGTTTTCCACCACTCAGTGATTTTTCAAAAATGTGTTACATGGTCAGCATGCATCAGTAAGATTCAGGGATGACCTTCTGGAAAAGAGCTCTGAGGAGAAGGACCTAGGTGTCCTGGGGGACAACAGATTGACTGTGAGTTAACTGTGTGCCTTTGCAGTTCTGCTGCAAGAAGGCTTTTGAGTCCCAGGACATAAAGGTGGGGGAGTGGGTTTGGTTGGCCTTGCCACACTCCCACCCTGGATTCACCAATGCCATCTGCATGGGAAGGAGAGGGATCTGCAGGCACAGCTCTGTGTGGAGATGCCTGTTCCCTGTGTAATCACCAGCTGAAATTTTCCCTGGCCTGGGGATTAGGTTTTCCTGTAACTTTGCCCGAATTAATTACCTGAGGTCTATGATCCCATTGTGTCCTCCTGGCTGCATCTCTAAGCACTTAATTGAAGCCTGATTCTTAGGGTGAGAGCAGGTGGTTCGCCTCCCACAGGTCATGGAGCTGAGCTTCGTTTGAAAAGAGGTATATTCCTGACAAAAATGAATAATTAACAGGTGTGCAGGGTGTTCTGCAGCCAGCATGGCCAAACAATGGGTCTCAATTTTCCTCTTTCGGTATCAGGAGATGAAATAGGTGGTTTGAATCTTCAGCTTTGGATATTGTAGTGAGAAAGTGAATAATGTGGGAAATCTCTAAAAATGTTATATTTGCATGTAGGGGAAAGCAGAATTCAAGAGATCTCTTGCTGACTCATCTCGAGGGACCCCAACTGATGCCAGTGCATCAGAGCTTGCAGCAAGTCCAGCTAATGCTGCTGAATGTCCCCTGCCCAAACTGGCCCAGGCAAGATGAGGGACTGTGGCAGCTCTGTGGAGACAGATGAGGTTTATGAACTCAGCCCTGGGAGTTTCAGTTTGCAGCACAATGTTGCCTTTCTTCTCTGGCTCAGACTTGCCTTCTCTGTGCCACATCTATCCTCCCTGGCACTGCACATTCCCAGAATTGCACACCTCTGATATGCCGAGGCTGGCCAGGCTTAAATTAGGAAAGCCCTCTCTTCTCTGTCCTGCTCCAGTGCCTCTGCTGCTGTTTTTCCCTTCTTCCCTAGGGCTCCTGGCTGCAGAGGAATTGCTTGTTGTGTGGGGCAACTCCGCTGGGCAGTCTTGACAAGATGGGTTTTGGGCTAGGAAGAAAGCTTATAGTATCATAGAATTGTAGAGTCAGAACTTTTTGAGTTAGAAGGGACCCTTAAAGGTGATCTAGTCCAACTGCGCTGCAATGAACAGGGATATCTACAGCTAGATCTGTGTATGTCTTCTGAGGAAAGGCTGGTAATCCAAAATTCCTACTAGAAGAAATTGGAAATACCAGTGTCTCTTAATACAACCCCAGGGCTCCAAACTGCTGTTCATTCTGCAGGAGGGCTCAGCAGCAGGGCCAGCAGCCCAGCATCACAAAGCTGCTGTGTCAGCCCCAGCTCTCATATCCTCACACCTAGTACACTTCAGCTGTCCCTTCCCTTCTGCAACAGTGTTTGCTGTGCGACCACAATACTGTGCTCCAGAGAACATCAGCTCTTGGGGACATGCCCATGATGCACACACACTGTGATGACGGTGCCCTCAGTGCATGACATGTGGCTCATGTGGATCACAGTTGAGTTCTTGAAGTGCCACTGTGTCATTGGGAAGGAGATGATCACCTGGGAGGTGGGGCTGGGAAGGAGGAACTCAAGGGTCAGAAAGAGCCTCTGTGGTGGTGTTACATAGCACAGACCACATAATACCAGCTCCTGTTTATGGCCTAGACTGTTGGCTTCTATTCCTGGTTCTGGCCAAGTCAATCTATCCAAAATATCCAAAGCAGATGTTCTTAAGGGGAGAAGAAAAACTTAAGTTGTTACTAGATCCTAGCTTTTCAGACCTCTTGAAAACCAGGGCCAGGTAGATCCAAACTGGGAAGACAAATTTAGAAAGTCCATCAATGTTTCTCAGGAGCACTTGTGCGTGAATTGCGAATGATGGTGCCATTTATTGCTGCAATCTGGAACAAAAGCCCTAGGCAGATTATTTTCTGCATGTTCAGAGGAAACCCAAATAGCAAGCAGAAGAATTTCTCAGCTGCCTCAATGGACAGCCATAAGTTGAGCTGGAGGGACAGAGATGATAGGGTTTCAAAACAGCTGCTGCACCAATGACTCTTGGGGACCTAAAATTAAAGCCTAGCTCAGTTTTCACTCCCAGAGCTGCTTTGGGCAGCCAGCACATATCTGTCAATAACATTCTTCTTTTTCCCTTCAGAGGAAGCAGAAAGTAGGCTGCTGTAGCAAAAGAGAAAATCTATTGCCTTAGAAAAGGCTCTGAAGCTACATACAAGAAATGCTTGTTATTTACCAGTTAATTATTTCTGATTGCTGTGAGCACAGGAAAGTAACGTGATCATATTAGTTCCTCTAGAAACTCCTCTCTGGTGGCTTTGTAAAGACTTTGGAAGTTGGGGGTGCTGGCCTAGAATTCTGAGGGCCCATCTCCGACTGTTGGCAGAGCACTGAGTTCAGTAATGGCTGCCTTCATTTTAAGTAAGTTGCCCTCTGCCTAATGCTGTCAGAACTCTGCAGTAAAGCATTGGTCCAGTTTTCCTCTGCAAATAACAAATCTGGCCACTCTTTGGGGAGTTCCCTAATACAGATCGGCTTTGGTGTTTGAGCTGCCCCCTGCCAAAGGCAACTTGGCTCTCTTGCAATTCTGAGCACTGAGAGCACCTCCTGGGGTCTGCCTTTGCCAGGAAGGAGTGCAGCCACAGCCTGCCCACAGTGTGGGAGTGTTGTGCCACATGTGATAGAGATCTGAGGCTGCTATCTGAAGTATACACATGGTTTTCTCAGATGGAAAACAGCGTCACTTCTGGACAGCAAGGGACAGACTGCCAGAAGACTTGGTTCCTAACTAGCTGTCAGCACAGCTTCTTCACCTCAGTTCATGTTCCACAAGAGAAGTAATTGCCTTTGTTTGATTTGGCTGAGAAAACAGTGTAAGACCCTTGGATGTGAACTGGGTGCGTGGGACTGCCCAGCGTGAGGTTCCAACTCAGTGTTTGTCACACGTGCAGTCATTGATTTACGTTGTAGCTCCCTGCAGAGCCCCAGGTTTCTTTTGGCTGCAGCCATTGCCCTGGGCCCTCTGTAATTCCTTCTGGGGAATTGCATCTGCTTTGTCTCATTGCTTTCCTTTTGCCCGATGGGCAGAGTCTGGGCTGAGGGATATCAGCAGAGGGGGGAGAGACGATAATGAGGGACCATGGGGACATTCAGACATCAGGAAAGCCCTGGCAGTTTCAGGGAGAGTGGGCTGACAAGAGACCACTTGAGAACTGCAGCAGTTGTGAATGTGTTTTGCCTGGCAGCAGAGATGATTGTCACGTGCATGACTAAAGCCCACAGCTCACAAGGAGCATTACTACATAAGATGGTGCTGGGCCAAGTCCACTCCACGTCCTTCCTTCAAGCCCTGATTTATGACAAAACAAAACCCCAACTTGCTATCTTGGGAGAAATAACTCCATGAAATGGTTTCTCTGCCAGAAGTGCTCAGGGTGGCTAGGCCCTGCTCCACCACGTTGTTTCTGCCCGGCTTAAGACTTCCCCATTCAAAACTAGGAGTTTGCTGCCATCTGTAGACATGTGGGTGCAGCTGAGGCATTTTCAGCCTCTGCTCACCCAACCTCAGCTGGGTTCCATAGCTCCTTATATAGGCAAGACAGCTGTAGAAAACCTCCCCAGTCCCAAAGCAACCTATTTCTTTCTTCAGTGTTTCCCCATCTAAGGTTGCCTGTACAGTGTCCAGCTTATTTATTCTCTGCTTTTGGATGCCAACTCTGCGACGAAGGCTTCAGCATCCAACAGCAATGTTGCACGCAGAGAGCTTGGGCTGTCTGGGAGGCAGCCAACTCTTCCTTTCTGGATTGTTATGACAAAAGAAAGCCTATTCTTCGAGGAGCAGGCTTTCCTCACCAGCTTACCTGAGCCCCACCTGGCAGGCAGTGTTTTAGGAGATCTGCCAACTCCCCTCCTTAGGGTGTCCCCTCTTCTGTGTGTCAGGAAAATGGCTCTGAAATGAAAAATACCTTTTTGGAGAGGGTCCTGCCCTTGCAGTTTCACTGTTAGCTGGTGCCACACCACAGCACATCCCAGGTCTCATGGTACCAGTCTCTGATTTAACACATTTGTGACAAGGCAAAATTAGTGACTCCTAGCCATTTAGCTGAGCTCTCCTGAGTATTATCATAGCTCCCTGATGCTGTTCAGATGACACCTGACCCAGTCTCAATGCTCAGTTGGTTAGATGTTACTGCTGCAGCAGCATCTTCCTTCTCTCTCACAAGCTCTGCAGTACTGGGGGCCATGGCTGAGGTTGGAATACAGGGAAGAACACAGCAATTCATGGTCCCTCTTTTCTGTCCCCCAGTTCCGGGGCCAGGCCAATATGCATGTGTTTGAGGACTGGTGTGGCAGCTCCACTGACGAGCTCAGAAGAAACCTTCACTTTCCCCTCTACCCCCACGTGAGTAAAACCCCAACAATGTCTGTCCCACTGTTCCCGTCTTTGCTCCCTTTGCATCTTATCTCCACTCCTTTCCATCACCACTTCTTTCTTCCCACTCCTGAGAGATCAGGAAGCTTTCACAAGGGTACAATGAACCTCTGGGAGGAAGCTCATTTTGCCCTTGCTGGCCTGCCAGAGCTTGGGCACAGCATGAAGGAGCCCTGTGTTTCCCCCCAAAGTGCCCACCAAATGTCACATCCCATTCCCACCATCACCAACATCCCCCATGCAGCCCTCCCTTCTGAGCAGCCCTTGTTCCAGTTCCTCTCACAGCTCTCCTGCTCCTTCCCACTGCTTCCATCACACACCATGCCACATCTGCACAAAACAAATGTCATACTTCCCTCTGTCCACCCATTGCAAGATTTTTGCAAACTGCTCCTCACCTCTTGTTCCTATCCACATAATTTTATTTTTTTTATCTTTCACTTCAGACAAGAACAGTGCTGAAGAAACTAGCCGTGTCTCCAAAATGGACCAACTATGGTCTCCGGATATTTGGCTACCTGCATCCTTTCACTGATGGTGAGGGCTTGTGGGTTCTGGGGCTGCTCGCATCCCTTCTTAGCCCAAGTGCACAGCCCCTCACGTAAGCAGTCCAGCTGGCTGTGTCCATAGAATGGATAAAGCACATCTGCCTCTGTTGTAGGGTAGAAAGAAGAAGCACAGAAGAAAACAATTGGAAGTGCTGGTTAAAAAACAATGCTGTCATGGATGCATTGCCCCATGACGTGCATGTGGGCATGAGTAACTCCCCCCCTCGCACATTGTTAGTGTTCCTGCTGCTTCTTAGGTTCATGAATGCTGTCTGACACCAGCTGACATCTGCATCACCCAGCTACGTGCTTCTGTCCAGAACAGCCCACTAACATGCACCCATCCCTGGCCCTCAGCTGCCATCTCTGTGACCCTGACTGGAACAGTCAGACTCAAACACCTCTGTCTCCTTTCATGGATCCACATGCATATTCCTTCATCCGAACATAATTTCTCACACAAAATGTTTATTCTGAGAGCAAAAACCAGGGAGACATGACACAGACTTCTTAGGTTTCCAGATTAGGTGTCAGGTGAAGTCAGTGTAGGATGAATAGGGAACCAGCTGTAAGTGACGTTTTGTTTTCAATCACTGCAGAATTTGAGAATTCAGAGAGGTTGAAAGGTTAATATCCAAAGGATTAATCTGGTATCGCCAGCAAAGAAGGCAAAGACAGCATTTTAGAGGAGCAGACTCCATTCTGTGTACGAGTCCTCACCCCAGAACCATACTTACTGCCGCCATCTCTTGACAGGAGAGTTTCAGTTTGCCATTGCTGCAGATGACAATGCTGAGTTCTGGTTGAGTTCAGATGAAAAGACCTCTGGTCTCCAGCTGCTGGCCAGTGTGGGCAAGGTACAGTGCATTCTGCATGGATTCTTCCATAAAAGCTGGGATGTTTCTGTGGGGATGGATACCCTCCTGTCTTCCATGCTTTTCTGGCCTAGCCAAGTTTCTTTTCCATCTCAACTACAGGCACCACCACCACCACAGATGCCAGACAAGTATGACACAACATACCTTAAGCCAGATACATATCAGCACTGCAGCTGGCAGCCCCAGTTTCATGGTTAAGGAATTTAAATCTGTCCAGAGTCACACCAGGATGAGCAGCTCAAATTTCTTTCTTCATTGCTCCAGCACAGTAACCAGGGAAACATTTCATCTTAACTGCAGCATCTTCTGTCTCTTCTCAGACAGGGAAGGAGTGGACAGCACCGGGGGAGTTTGGAAAATTTTGGAGCCAGCAGTCAAAGGTAGTGAGGTGAGTGAGCAGAGTCTCTCACTTCCAGCCACTTCTGTGCATGGCCAGGAAATGACAGGAAAAATGAAATAAAACTTGTTCTGAAGAATTTAACAGTATAGAGATAGAAACTACTATGGGGTCTGCTAAAGCTCAAGTGACACTTCTGCATCTGTGCCAGTTGCTTTACAAGCTTGCAGCAGAAATGCAGTGCTGATTTTTTCTTCCCGGGAGGAGAGTCATCAGCAAATCCAGACTCCTCTTTATGAGCTGTACTCCAAACTTCCTGCCTTGGAACTGCCCGGGTTTCCCAGAGGCCAAAACCTGGCAGACAGGGCTGAAAGAGATTTGTTCAGAATTATCTGAGAAGGGTCTGAAGTGTTCCAGAAGCACCAGGGAAGCCACCTAACTAGCTGCCAGCATCTGAGTTTTCTTGGCAATCCCAGTCCTACTCACCCTGAGAATTAGGTTCTTTCATGGATGTGGTTCCTCTCCATTTACTGTCTGCTGGCAAGCTAAGAAGAAATATTCCTTAATGCTGTTGGTGACAGTCATGTTGTTTTTCACAGGTTGTCAGCTGCAGGCAGGTACTACTTTGAGGTGCTGCACAAGCAGGATGACAAAGGGACAGACCATGTGGAAGTAGCAGTGAGTCTATGCAAATGGCTATGCTGTACGCTACATGCAAATGGAATGTGTTATGTAAAATATATGTGTTTCTTGGATCTTGGATCTTGGGAATTAAGTTTATAATTATTTCCCTCCCTTCCCAGGCCCCCTATCCTCTTTGTATGAGGTGAACATACCAAATCCCTTCCAGAGTCCTTCCTACTTCTATGTGGGACAATCCTGGCTATTTTAGGACCATTTTGCTTGGGACAGTTCTGCTTTCTGGTCTTTGTTGCTTCTCTTTATCCTTTCCTGCTTTTAGTGAATCCAGGGGAATTTCAGTTTATTCCTAGTCTTTTGCTGCTAGGTAGACTATTGTAGTAAGGAGAAGAAAGCTGTGGGTCCATCTAGTGAAAAAACGCCACCTTGTATCTGTTCCTTTTGTTCAGGTTTGGTTAAATGCATAACGACATGGTTTTAATGCATTTCTCTGTTCCAGTGGAAACTGAATGACCCAGATGCCAAGTTCAAAATCATTGACTCCCAATACCTCTCCCTTTTTGCTAGTAAGTATATTCACCACAAGTTTTCTTGAGCCCCTCCCCATTCTTCCAGAACTTATTATCAGTGTTTTGCTGTGAATCACAGTCTATCCAGGCAAATAGTTTGTGTACAGATCATTACAAGAAAGAAATGGAGACAGGTCAGGAGAGAGATCTCTAAACAGGTGTGTGTGACTCATTATTAAATACAGGAGAACTGGAATTAGGATTAAATGATAGAGAAATGATAGGGAAGAGAGTCTGTAAGAATGAGGGAAACTGATACACGAGAGTATCATGGGATGAAAGTTGCTTGTGCAGAGAGCTAAGGAAGAATATAGGAGCCTATAACATGGGGATGATGGGGATGTGCTGGCCACTGGAGCATCTCCAGCAGATTTCTCTCAGGACGCTGGACACAGTTGAATACATCTAGAGGTATCAGGCATTGCTGCTTTCTTCAGTGCTTCCCTCAAGTCTCTTCAGGTTGGTTCCAGGTTGCAGCTAACGTGTCAGCCCAGTCCTCCTGTTTTGCAAATGCTTTTCAGCACATCACATGGTGCCTTTATCAGTTAAGGATCTCCTTAGTCCTGCCTTTGCTTGTCTACCTTTGTCAGTATCATTTTCGACTGCCAACATTCCTCCTTTCTGTACCTATTGCTGGTACCTTCCAACATCTCTGGTATTTTTTCTGTGCTAACACTTTTGCCTATGGAAGGCTCTATGATGTAATCTAGACATCTGTTTACAATGTCTTGGATTACAACCTGCTGTTGCATTTTCTGAAACTTGCCGTTTGGCCAGGACAAAGCATTCAGTCAAATCTTTCTTTCTCCTTCTGTTTTTTTCTGCCTATTACTTGCCTGTAGAAGAAATGGCTTGCAGCTCAGAAGATCCCTTCATGGCTGGCGCAGTGCTGCGGTCTCCCATACAGTGTTCCTCTCTTCCACCTTAGCATGTGGCTGTATCATACATTATCCCATCCTTCTGAGGTTTCTGTGTTGTTCAGTACCCAGAAGTTGCTAACAGTAACCCCAGTGCCCTTGGCAGCATGCTATTTATTAATTATTTATGATACTTGTTTATTACATTTGCAGATATTAACTCAGTTCTGCTCACTTTAGAGTCAGAACCATGGAGACATGAAATCTGGCAGCAGCACTCAAGAAAAGGCATAACCAATAGTCAATCTTGAGTTTGTGCTTCCCACTGTTCCTGGCTTACCATGGGTTTCCATTACCCTGCTGGAACACCATCCTCCTAGGGCATTGAAGGCCTCACCCCAAGTTCTTACTCATTTTCCAGCACAAGGGAAACCTCCATTTCTCAGCTTTCTCCTCCTATTCAACATTATCTATCTACTTATAAAAGAAATTTAATGGTGATTATTCAAATGTGTCCAGTAATTTCTGCCAGGCTGGGGTGTCTGCAGCACACCACTGCTGGTGTGTCCTCTCACAAAGTCATTTCCAGACATCACTCATCACTGTGTTTGTTTGCTTTCGCTGATAGCTGTGTTCAGTATCTCCATCTTTCCTAGTCAGAGCCTTTCTTTCCCTCAAGCACTGTTGAAGCTCCTGATGAGTACCGTGTAGGCATTGCTGTTGTGCATTACCATTTGGAAGGGCTGATGCTGTGGAAAATTGCTGCCTGGGACAAGGGATGAATGAGATCTTCCTCCCCCTTCTGTTCTCTCTCTGGTTTCTAGATGAGACGCTGTTAAAGATGGATGAGGTTGGGCACATCCCACAGACTCTGGCCAGCCGCAAGAGCCGGGCTGCTGATGGAACGGGAGGCAAGGCACACCCTGCTGACATGTTGAAGCCTGACCCCCGGGACACTCTTTACAAAGGTAAAAAACTTGCAAGGGAGTTGAGGAGGCAGTTGCAGCCTGTCCCAGCACATGCAGACAAACAGCTGAGCAAGGCTGTCCTCCTACGCCATGTTTATCAAAGGCCACCCTCCTTATTTCACAGTGGAGCAGGGGGCAGCGTGCAGCATCTGTTGCTGTGGGATACGAGACAAAACACAGAGTAAACCCATCTCTTCTTTCTTGGAATTGAACTCATGCGATGTCTCCAGGCATATTTTAGTGTAAATGCTGTAGAACAAGATGAATACATGAACTTTAAAAGATGTTCCACTTTATGTATCAGAAGCAGTATAGTCAGCAGGATCACCTCTCTGTACTTGCATTGGTGAGGCCTTATTTCAAGTACTGTGTTCAGTTTTGGGCCTTACACTCTAAGAAGGATCTGAGGCCCTGGAGCACATCCGCAGAAGGGCAACAAATCTGTGAGGGCTCTGGAGCACGGGTCTTATGGTGATTGAGGGAACCAGCATTGCTCAGTCTGGAGAAGAAGAGTCTCAGAGGAAACCTTATCACTCTCTACAACTACCTGAAAAGAGGTTGTGGTGATGTGGGGGTGGCCTCTTCTCCCAGGTAACTGTGATAGGATGAGAGGGGATAGTCTCAAGTTGCCCCAAGAGAGGTTCAGGTTGGATATTAGGAAAAAAAATATTCTCTGAAGGAGTGGTGATGCATTGTAACAGGCTGCCCAGGAAGGTGGTGGAGTCACCATCTCTGGAGGTGTTCAAAAATTGTGTGGATGTGGCGCTGAGAGATATAGATAGCAAGCATAGTGGTGACAGATTGGAGTTGGACTAGATGGCCTTAGTGGTCTTTTTCCAACCTTAATGATTCTATGATTCTATCTGATTACCTCTCATATAGTTAAGTACAAGCTGGGCACAGAAGTGGCTAGGCAGTTGCATCAATTGCAGTAGGGTTCCTCCAGCAATGCTTGCCTACATTTTTTCTTCTCAGTGCCTCTGCTCAGCAAGTCACGCCTGCGCCGAGCCCTGCCAGACTGTCCATACAAGCCTAGCTACCTGGTGAATGGGTTCCCTCTGCAGCGCTACCAGGGCCTCCAATTTGTAAGTTTTATTCCTTGACCCAGCACTTACCCAGGGGTAAGAAGGAAGGAGGGAGACCTTATTATCCATGGGCCTCCATGGGTACCTCCTGTACGAAGCTCCTGGGCAGATGTGACCACTTGTTCTTCAGGTCTTCAGCATCTCAATACATGGCAGAGGTTAACAGCAAGAGAAGGGAGATAAGTGCTACACACTGCTTGCTGGTCTCACTGGCAGACAAGTGTGTGTGTCTCACAAAGCCCCTCAGACTTCAAGCAAAAGCTCTGAGCTTGCCTTCACATGGAGACTTGTCACAGCTGAGGATTTCATTCCCTGGGAGGTGTAGTGTGCATGGACCAAGGCCCAGAAGAGTTTTCAGACTGGCCTTGAGGTAGGGCCCACATTTATGAACACGCAGCATAGCAAAGTTCAATCCTTTTCATAGCAGAGCAGACTGGCTGAGGCCTGGCAGAGCCAGTGGGACTGGGGGCATATCACCATTCTGCTTTGCTTTCCCTTGATGCCAGTTCAAGCCTACACTTCCCAGGATGGGACTGGCATCCTGGGCAAGTATGGCTTCCTCAGCCTTGCCTGGGGCTGACCTCACACATATTCTGGGTTCCTGTGTTCTCCTGCACCTCCTCAGTGGGACTATCCCATCTAGTTCTTGCTTTGTTACAGGATTTCAACACACAGTTGCAGGGATGGACAGACAGATGCTCATCACTCTTCCTTTTGTTTTCCATTTCCATAGTCTCTTCTCACAGCCTGCTACTGGGTGCCTTTGAGAGGCAACATAGTGAGCAGTGCCTGTTCTTTCCCCAAAGGGCTGCTCACCTTGCAATCGTGCACCCATAAGGGTCACCTTATGAATGATGTCTGGCATTGATGGGGTTTTTTCCTTTATTTTCCTTCTCTTCTTCCCAGATTCATTTATCCTTCGTTTACCCCAATGATTACAGCCGTCTGAGCCATATGGAGAGAGAAAACAAATGCTTCTATCAGGAAAACCCATATTACTTGGAAAGGTAGGATGCTGCAAGTGGAGGTTTACTAGCAGTGAGAACGGGAGGAGACAGTTTTAAGGCTGGAATTAGAGTGGAATTTCATATTCATTTAGTTGGGACTCTCTTTATTTAAAGGTCCCTTAAGTCCTGTAAAACATTAAAGCATTTATAGTTTCTTTCAATAGCCAGTGCTTCCTTTAAGTGAAATTGTGCTTAGGTCTCAAAGGAAAACTGCTGCTACTTTTCTTGCTCTATTAACCAGGAAGCTGGGTCAGAGTATATTTGTTCCAGTACATCAGGGAATGTATTTGCCAGCAAACTTTCCATGCCAGCAGCTGGAGCCTCCTAATGGCTGTCACTGTGAAAGCCAAGCCATACTCACAACCAGACATCTCTGGGGGGGATGAAAACATGCAGCTCACTTTTACTGGGGTCTTGCTCCAGTGATGGCCCTGCAAGAAAACCACCACATGCATGCTCCCCGCTTTACAGGGAAGCAAGCATCTTGTGTGAGGATTCTGTTCATTTCAGGAGGACTTGTTTGCAGGATAAGGAGAGTTGCTTTTCCTGTGAGATAGCTGATGGTGGCCTCCTTGTGTTCATCTTCGTATCTGAGGGCTGGAAAGACAGATTGTATTGTAGGGTTGGGAGAGGTCTACTGGGCCTGGGGCTCATTGTTAAAGACGGAGAAGGTGGCTATTGTGGGCTGGCACGTGCACCTCAAGTTTTTTTGCTTGACAAATAGTGTGTATTGTAACAGCATTTGGGAAGTGGGAGTTAATTCTGCTTGTCATCAAGCACACATGGAAGGAAACGATCCAAGGAGGGAAACCCCTCCCAAAAGCTTGAAGCACAAGCATGCAATGGGATGACATAACACACAAACCACAGTGGTGGTATGGGAGAAGAAAGAGGGAGGTCACTGCAGTTACCTGTCCGAACCACTTCAGTAGCACAGGGACTTCAGTTTGTAAGTGCTACACTGGATCTGAGCTTTAAGGAGAAGTTTAAGAGAAGCTAAAGAAGCGTTTCAGTGTCCTTGTGTTGGAATTTTCTCCTGTGCACATGGAGCAGCACTCAAGAAAATGTCTGAGAAACTGGAATGACACCCAGGAAAGCTGATGTTTTTGACAGTGAGATCTGATTGCCCCAAGATCTGAAAGTGATGATGATAGCTTATAACTTGCTATGAAAGGAGGTATAATCAAAATAATTGACCATCTCCTCTGTAGCAGTGGCTAGAATTTAGTTGAAGAGGGCAAAATAACTTTGATCGAGCTGGTGTCCTTCCTTCTGCAGATTTGGGTTCTACAAATACATAAAAATGGACCGGACAGAGAAGAGCATGGACTCTGATGAAAAGACTGAGCAACCAGGTAGGACCCCCTAATATCAGAGCCTGGAGGAGCCTTTTATCCTCCTGTTGACTTTCCATGGCAAGCAAGTCACATCCCTTCCCTGCCAAAGTGCTGCAACTGGAATGAAATATTTACTGCCACATTCACTTTTCTTAAGGGCAGTCTGGGAGGCCAAGCAGTGCACTCTAGGAGATAATGTGATGACCAGTTTTCAGGCCTGAGACTTAGCTGAGGTGCAGTTCAAACAAAAATGTGGGTAGAAGTGTCAGAGCCAGCTGTGCATGGAATGGCAGCCTATGCTTATACCTGCCCTGCAAGGCTGCGTGCAGACCTATAGCTGAAGGCTTTGCCAGACATCTCCACAGCTAATAAGTGTTGAGTGCCAGGGTTGGGATGGGGAAGGAGGATGCCAGAGATGTAACTGTGATTATTCCTGCAGGCTTTCAGGAGGGGAACCTGGATGATCTGCAGTATGGGGAGCAGGATGTGGAGAGCACTGTCTCCCCAGCGCACCCCAACGTGCGGCGGGCAGAACCAGCAAGTGCTGCTCCCGGCACAGTGATGGGCAGCGATCGTGTCTATGAGGACTATTCTCTCCAGGAGCATAGGCGGCTCCTCTCAGTCAGTGATACAGGGGAGGTGACCCAAAGGAGACGGACAAAAAAGTCTGGTGTCAAAACAGCCCTTCTGGCCCCTGCCAACCAAAGCCTCAGTCGAGCTGGCCCAGAGAGAAACCCAGTGACAAAGAGACCTCACTTAAAAGCTGGAGTCAAAGACAACTCCAGAAGCCCTCCGCAGCATGCCAGGGCCGCCCAGGGCAGAGCACCTCCCAAAAAGGAGAACCCTCCTTCTAGGAGCAGATCTCAAAGGGAGCAGCCTCTCAGCAGCCCCAGGGACTCAGGGGTCAGGATTCCCAAAGGTCTGAGAACTCGAGGAGACCTCAGCATCATGGAGGATGGCCTGCAGCCAGCAGGCACTAAGCAAGCTAAGAGAGCAGACCCAGCATCCAGCAAAGCCAGCAGGCACCTCGTGGATACTGCTGGCCCCAGCAAGGACCCACCACGGCTGGAGCAGTGGCTGAACCAAGTGGAGGCCTACGTGGCTGAGCAGAAGAGGGCCACTGGTGGGGACGCAGGCAAGGGAGAGACAGAGGTGGCATCTCTTGCAAAGGGCAAGTCTAGGCCTGAGAAGGTGGCAGCAGAAGAGGAAGAGGTGGATGGGGAGCCAGAAGAGGAGGATGAGGAGGGTTTTGATTACGTACCAGTGTTTGACCAGCCGGTGAACTGGGAGCAGACTTTCAGCGCAAGCAACCTGGATTTCCATGTGCTGCGCACTGACTGGATTGACCTGAAGTGCAACACATCGGGAAACCTGCTGCTGAAAGAGAGGGAAGCCCTGGAAGTCACACGTGTCTTCCTCAAGAAGCTCAACCAAAAGATTAAAGGGTAAGGCAAAGTGTGAAAACCTAGAGCTTGTGTACCTATTGTTTGCAGCTAGAATGAATCAAAGGATAAGCTAGATGTGGAAAATAAAACTTCAGACAAGGATTTCTATGTAAAAACCAGAAGATTCCTTTGAGCTGAGAAATGGGAATGTTGGGTACTAGATCATGTCCAGGGGTGACTATCACCCTCGAACAGCCAGTGGCTGGAAGTTTCAGTCCAGCTGGCATCACTAGTGCATGGCTGTTTTCCTCCTTGCACTGTGTAAGCATTGAGAGCACGTAGAAGCATTTTGTCAGCTGTAGATTGAGGAACCTCAGTGAATTAGGACTGGAGCTCCTCATGCTTGTGGTTTAATGCCTATTACCTCTCAGTTTGTGAACCTGGTACCATTTCCGACATAGGACCAGAAGGGACCTGTCAGATAATGTGAATCAGCACACTGACCTCACAAACAACCAAGTACCCTAACCTTTATCTGAACATATGCACCTCCATTGTAGAACTAACCATCTTGATTACCTTTCTGGCAAATGAACGTACCTCCTAAGAACTTCTGTAAGCCTCCAGCTTTCCTCAAGCCTTCTGATGAGTTGGCCTATATTTCCATGATTTTTCTGTATGTCCTTTCCCACGCTGGTTTCAGTTTTGGTTAATTTTCCTGAACAGTATTCTGGATATTACATAGAATGATGTTATTACTTCCCAATTCCTGGAAGTAGGTCTCATACTACATCTTTAGATTGTGTTTGTTTTTTTTCCGGGTCACAGTGAAAAAAATAGTTGTTTTTTTTCACATCAGTCACAGTCACAGTGTAACTGATCAGTATGCTCAGGGTTTTCACAGCACTTTTAACTGATGAGCATCCATTTCATATTATATGACAGGACATGACCTGGCATTTCATCCCATTTTGGCCGTTCTGGACCTACAGCTCATCCCAGTCTTTTCTGTATGATTGCTCAGTCTTACTCCTTGTTATCGTCTGATAAGCTGTCATCAGCCACCTTCACCAACCCAACCATTCTTCCCGTGCCAAGATCTTTGACAGAGGTGTTGAGTACACTCTCTATTACCAGCCCTACAGCCATTCAGACACATTTGTTGTTTTCAGTGTCACCTTTATTTCATTCCCCTTGCCAACTATTTTCTCTTGGCTGGGATCCCAGATCTAATCCCACATGCTTACAGATTTAGGAAACAGGTGCTAAATCATCCCATGGGGGGAAGCTGGGGACAAAAAGAGTTGTGCTAGCCCAGGAGGAAACAGCTGGCAGAGCAAAATGAGCCAAGTAGGGTGAAGGTGGGAGAGTGGGCCATGTACAGGGGATGTACCCATCCTGGCTGAATCTCCTGCAGGCGGTTCCAGCTGCAGCGTATCGTGAATGTGGAGAAACGCCAGGACCGCATGCGAGGGAGCCGCTACCTGCTGGAGCTGGAGCTGCTGGAGCAGGGAGAGCGTCTCGTCCGCTTCTCCGAGTACATCTTTGCGCGTGGCTGGCAGGGCGTGGGTGGCGATGAGCAAGAGGAGAGGAACATGAGGAACCTGGCTTGGGGTCACCGGCGGCACCTGATGGCTGTGGCAAAAGAGCCAGAGCTGTGCTGGCCCCAGGGCTTTTCCTGGAACCACCGTGCTGTGGTTCACTTTGTGGTGCCAGGTAAGGAGATCTACCCTCCTGGGACTTGAAAGGACAGCATGGCTGGCTCTTCTCTCAGGGGCAGACCTGTTAGGGTCACTTCCAATGTCTTTTCTCTCCTAGCTAATTCTCCTCAGAAATGTGATGGGGCCCAAGCCTCCCATGGCTTGTAAGCCAAGGGAGAAACACTGACACATTTTGGGAAAGAACCCACACCCATTTCTGGGCTCTTTGGTCCAAGTTTTCAGCCTGGACCTGTTTGAGCATCCCTTCAATGTTGGTAGGGTTTGAGAGGAGGCAAGAAGCCTTGCTTGCTGAAAGCCATGCCATCTTTGAAATCAGTCCATGCTACCTTTGAAATTAGTTTTCCTTTGTTTCTCTCCCTCTTGCAATTCACCCAGTGAAAAACCAGGCACGGTGGGTGCTACAGTTCATCTCTGACATGGAGGAGCTGTTCCGAGTCACTAAGGATCCATACTTCAATGTCATCATCACAGACTACAGCAGCGATGACATGAACATAGAAACTGCTCTGAAAAGGTCTAGCTTGCGCAGGTGAGAGTGCTGTCTGGTCAAAAAATAGTATTCAAGTGTATTCTTGTAAATGCACTACATCTACAAATGTCTTTGCATTGACCTCCCTCAGCTTCTGGCAGCTAGAAATCCAAAAATGGTATCCATCTACACCTTGCATGTTTATGTGCACATATTGCTGTTATAATGTGCATGTATGTGTGCTGCATAGAATATTGTTATAAAACTGTAAGGCAATACCTATCACAGTCATCTGTTCAGATGCATGTCTTTTCTCTCAGCTTTCTTCAAGTTTTCAAGGGAGGACAGAAAGCAAGTGTCACAATGATGGGGGAGAGGTTAAGCCAAAGAAGATGAGAAAGCTGTGAGAAATGAGTGTGGAGTCCTCTGGGGACTTACTTCTCTTGCTGCAACAGCTGTCTGGCTTATTGTATTCTGACCTGAAACAGCCTTGGTTGGTCCTTTCCAGTGCTAGAGGTTCCAAAAATAGAGCTGGCAGGACTTCTGCTATGAACTATCCTTGTTGCATATGTGGCAGGACCATCAGGACACACTGGCACCGTGCTGAGCTCGCATGCTCACACAATGGCTTTTTTCCTCCTCTCAGGGGGCAAGAGGTTGCTCCTCAACATGGTACTCGTGCTGTATTATTGCCAGCAGTGTTTTCTGTCTCATCGTCATATATGCACCAAACTTCTCTTTCTTGTTTGGCCTGCAGCTATCGGTACTTGAAGCTGATGGGGAATTTTGAGCGTTCTGCTGGCCTGCAGGCAGGAATAGACCTCGTGACGGTAAGCCTGGGGGATGTGGAGTGGATAGGAGGGTGTCTGGTATATGTCCAGCACTGCTTCTTGCCTGTCATACTGGACATGCTGGCTTTTAAGAAAGGGAATAGCCCAACAGAACAGATAAAATGTGGATGTGGATGTGTTTCCTGTCCCTCTGGAGTAAGGATCTTGTCCCTTTCTCCAAGGAGACCAGTCCCTGTGATCCATGCCATTCTTGCCCTACCTACTTGAACTATGAGACAGGAAGGAAATCAGGAGTAGCAGCTTTATGACATTGGCTCATTCAGATTGCAGTCATAACATATCTATCATTGAAAAGGCAGCCAATGGCAGTTTTGCCATTCCCTAAGACTTCTGTTTCCAATCTAGCAATGTATGGCTCTTTAATTCACTCCCAACTCTCTGTCATCCTGTCCTTCAAGAAAGACTTACTTAACGTCACCCTATTTTTTTCCCAACCGGTGTGGTCGGCTCCAGGATCCACACAGCATAATTTTCCTTTGCGACCTCCACATCCACTTCCCAGCTGGAATCATTGACTCAATCAGGAAACACTGCGTGGAAGGCAAGATGGCCTTTGCTCCCATGGTCATGAGGCTGCACTGTGGCATGTCCCCACAGTCACCTGATGGTAAGAGGGAGTGGAGCTTCTTGGGCTCAGACCTCGGGGAATGGGGAAAGAAGGAACATGTCTGCAGCCCCTAGATTTGGTGCTCAGTTGCTATCAAGGTCTGGTGCTTCACGTACTCCAGAGCCAACAGGTGGGAGAGCACTAGGCATAGAACTGTGGTAGATAGTTGACATTTGAGATCAAAGAGAATATGATATTTCTTCTGGTCACTGCTTTGAACTCCCAGGATCTGACTGTCTAAGGAATCCCCCCTTTTTGTCATTCCTATCCATCTCTCTCATTTTTTAGAGGGCATAGTCCGGCCTCTTGAGTATGGCTGCTAGCCCAGGAGTGAGAGAAGGCAACTCAAGTCAGGGGGAGAAAAGTGACAGAGAGCATAGGATTTCCATTAGACAAAGATGGTCATCCTGAGGTGCCACAGAAGCAAATTACCATTGAGTAGATATTTTTTCATCCTGGCACAGGGACAACCACCTGAACCACCTAATGTAAGGTCCACTTACATTAAGTATCAGACAGGAGATGTGAGAAACTTTGTTAGGACAACCCAAGCTGTCTGTAAGCCTTTCTGACTTCCTGAAGCTTTAAAATAGTTGGTTCTGCCTTGGTGATTTGAGTCTCTGGTGTCAACACTGTCTCAGCACTGACAAACCTGTGCCTCTTTTGTGCTCTCCTCAGGCTACTGGGAGGTGAATGGGTTTGGTCTCCTTGGCATATACAAGTCTGACCTGGACAAGATTGGAGGAATGAATACAAAAGAATTTCGGGACCGCTGGGGAGGAGAAGATTGGGAACTTCTGGACAGGTAATTGTCATCATTCACGTGCTTAGAAAGGAGACTCATTAGGTCCTGAAGAAACAGTGACTGGAAAGCATGGATCTAAGGAGATGAAGGTGGTGAAGACCACCATAAGCTTGGTTAGTGAGAGAGAGTCTTGGGGGATGTCCGGAGCTCAAGACTAGTACATGAGTGTAGCCAAAATATACTGCTACAGCCATTGATAAAGGAAAAGAGGAGGTGTTTCCTGGTGTTTTCCAGCCATGCTGTTGGTTACCCATGGACAGATCAAGTGCTGGTGATTCTGGAGACTTCATCTTCTTGAATCAGTGGATGGTGATCCCAGTTTTAGTCCCCCAAACCTTCCGTACAACATACAGCAGTCACTCAAAAGAGCACTTGCCAGAGAGACATTTCAAGATCATGAGGTTGGGTTACAGTTTCTGAGAAGTATATGATGCCCTGCTGTACAAATTATAGTCTTCTGTGTTTGTTTTGGGCCATTTCTTTTCAGTCAGATCATTGAGGAAAAGACTGGCATCCTGCGTAGTCCCATCTTGCCAGCTGTCTTTCCTCCAAGCCTGCCACATGCAGCATGCCTGTACCTGTTCCAGATAAATCCTGCTCTCAAGGGCCTATGAACACTCAGCAAAGTGTCATCAGATGCCTGTTTATGGATAGGAGATACCCTGAGCTGTCTTGGACTCCTGAGCTGAGTTGTGATCTGTTGACAATAGGGCTGCTTAAAAGAGATCCCCCATAGCCAAGCTCCCTGCTATTGCCGTCATCAAGATTTTCCTAAATATACCCTTCTCCTTTCTGCTAGGATCTTACAGGCCGGGCTGGAAGTGGAACGTCTGTCCCTGAGAAATTTTTTTCACTGGTTTCATTCAAAGAGGGGAATGTGGAACCGGCGCCAGCTGAAAACATTGTAGCCTTCAACCCCAGAGATGCTCGGCAGCACCATCCACCATTTTGCCTTGGTGTGCACTTTATCAAGACACACAGCCAAGCGCATAAACTCTGCCTCCACTGGGACAGCACAGCAGAAGAAGGGACTATTGGGCTAGAAGAGTGGGAGCTTCTCTTGTGAATCATTGCATCCAGCATGGGATCCGTGTCCTTTTGGGAAGTTATATGAGGGAGCTGTTGCACAGTGAAGGATTTGTATTTCCTGCCATGCAGTCTGGTGGATGGTACAGTGGGAGAGGTGCCATATTTCCTGTTGAGTCTTGTGTGGTGCAAATCAAACAAAAATCCCAGCTAAGCGCAGAATGTTTTACAGGAATGCACCTTCTCTTTCAATACTTGAAGAAAAAGAGGAAAAACAAACAAACAAAAACCTCTCCTTCCCTCCCAACTCCTTCCCCATCTCTCTGGTATCAATGCTTTCAGACAGGGGACCAAAATATTTTTTCTGAACTGTGTTGTGTCCGTATGCCCGTGTGCTGACCCCAGAACTGAATGAGGAGGCGCTGATAGGCACTTCACCCTGCTGATGCTTAGGTGTTTCTCTGTGCTTTGCACTTCAGTCATTATGAAAAAACATGCTCACTGAGTGTGGATGAAGACTGAAGTGCACTTCCCAAATGAAAGCCACATTTGCCTGCAGTGGAGCAAAGTGACAGGGAGTGATGTTTCAGCTCTACCTGAATTATTGATTCACTGGCTGAGGATAGTGGAGGGGTTATACAGAGACACTTGGAGGGCATCTCAGGAGGAATTTTGCAGCCTTATCTGACAGACGTACATGTTTGTCCTAAAAATATCAGGGAAACCCTCACAGGGAAGAAGTGGCAATATTTTATTAGTTGATATATTGAGATTTTGTCAGAAAAAGTGGAGACAGATTTTTCTGCTCTCTAAATCTTGTACATTCATGCAGTATCTAAAGGTTAATTTAATAAATTAAGACCTTACAGTTAGGTCGTGTTTGACTTTCATGTAAAGAGCAGACTTGTTTGTGTTGTCTGAGGAACTGGCACAACTGTTGTTCACTTTTGGAGCAGCCCTGGGAGCCCAGTATGGAGAAGATGGCTTCAGGCCTTGGCATTTGCATCGGTTGTAAGGAACAGTAAGGGCAGAAGAGGTCTGGGTGAATAAAATGATGGTTAGACCCATGCCAGCATTGATGAGAGCTGTGGGAAGAGCTTGTGTCCACAGCCAGCCTGATGACAGAGCAAATTCTCAGCCCCTGAAACTACCATTCATTCAAGGCAAGATTTTTACCTCTAAAACCATTTTACAGGACTGCACTCTGCACTGGAGCTTCAGGATCCCCATACAAAGCTGAAAAGGCTGCTGCTGGTCTCATGCTTCTGTGAGAAGTGTGACACTGAATGCTGCTCACTACTCTAGCAATGAAGGGAGTTGTTGAGTAGTGAGCAATAGAGGTGTGCAGCACACAAGCAATGGCTGACGTGGTACTAGAGTTGCTTGCTTTTAGGCTGATGGAGCAGATGACAATTCAGAATAGATATTTGTTATTAATTCCATGGTGCTTGACAAGCCCATCAGGCTCCAGTGCTGTGGTAGAAAATGGAACATGAGTTCTGGCACACGAAATAAATTTTATCAAATCATCTAGCTGCCTCAGTCTGGGTTTTGTCCCTGATGAAGTTAGCTGTATTTAAGGAAGCTTCATTGTGCAGCTATGGAGAGAAGTATGTGAGAATGCTATGTCCATCGCTCCATGCAGCCTTTGCTTGAATGCAGTTACTGAATAGCTAAGAAGAGACGGCCTCAGCCTTCTGCCCAAGCCAGAGCAGTCTTTTTAATGAGAGAAAGTAGTTTTCCCATGTAGACAATAAGAATGAAATGCAGAGAACGGCATTATGGTCACTTTGCTGAGGGAGAGCTGGCAGATCTTTCGGTGGCCCTAATATCAGACAGAGGGAAGATGAGTGATTTCTCCTCTATGCTTTCACGTCTGGCTTAGGTGTAATCTGTAGCACCTAAAGGCAACAGCCTGTGTTCTTCTGTAGACAGTGGTGAGAATGATGTGCATACAGGAGGTAATAACCATCAAAGACTGGACTAGAAAGTAGGGTACAATCCTGGCTCCAGCACTGCTGGCAGGTTTTGAGGATTTTGTACCCGTGCTTCAGCTGGCTGGGTGACTGCTCCTTCTGTCACACCTTTAGCCCAGAGCTGCCTACCTCATGGGAGCTCCTTGGTGTGCATGTAAGGAGTTACTGTGGCTCAGTCCAGTTTCCTAAAGGCCAGTGTCCCCACTGTAAAAGCTGTCATCACAACTGTTCTTCTGTTCTTAGCACAATGAGGACTCTTAGCTGGTGTTTAAGCATTGTGGTGGTAAACATGATTAACACTAATTGGCACTAGTTGGCAGCCTTTGTGGAGGAGCTTGGAGAGAGCTCATGGGGACAGAGGCTATTGTCCAGCCCACAAGCTCAGAGACTGCTATTGGTTGTCTGAAGAAGATGGGCCGTGTGCTTTCTGGCTTGGTAGCCAGCAGGAAATCTTGTGGGGGCAGAGCCAGGTTTCACCCTGAGGCTGCTACCCCTCTTCCGAAACAACCTGAAGCTCTTTCCTCCCCCTCAAAGAGGGACGACAAGCAACAGGGGTGGGTGGTCCCACAGCCATACTATGAGAGGACATGACCATCCAGGGCAGTGGCCAGGCCACCACAATGCCCAGCTAGCCCACCAGTGTCACATACCGCAGCACAGAGGGCTCATCCTGCCATCAGCAGATCCCAAAGCACAAGAGCAGGGAACCTGGTGTCACCAGAGCAGGAAAGCTGACTCCTGATTCTCTTTTCTGTGACAGAGGAGTTTTAAGAAGTTTTGCCTGAGTTTGTGGTGAGTTTTGCCCCACATTCCTGGCTTTCGTGTACATCCTGGCCATGTCCTATCTCTGAGGCAGAAGGGAATGAGTTGCTTGTCATTTCCTGTGGATCAACCACATGGGCTCCAGTAGGTCCCTGGCTGGGGGTGGAGAGAAAACCATGGGTCACTGTGCAGAACAGAGCTTCCCTGCAGCAGGGTGCGGCCAGGCGGGGGGCCTTGATCCCCCATGTGCAGGCTGCACTGCAGGGTGCTGGCTCCATCGGCAGGACTTGTTCATTGCCAGTGAACTGTGGGCCTGGGGGGGTTGTTTTATTGCTCAGCAAAGTGAATAGTGAAGGGCCAGCTTTTATTCTGAGAAATGCCTTGTGTTAAAACAATAACATGACTTGTTTTGTCATCATTTTTAATATTTGCCTGGTATGAACTTCTCACTGTCTACAACTGTCTGAAGTTGTTCATTTTTTATGTACCAATGCCTTGTGTTATAAATCTGGATTGTACCTTTGACTTATCTGCCTTAAAGTGGGTCTGTGCCTTCTAGACAACCTCTGGGCCACCTCTCTGTACGATCTGGGGGAAATACCGGTTCTCCACACATTTTATAAATATATGGTCTTCCTACAAGTGCTTCACTCTGTCTCTGTGTTACTTGCCTCACCACACAGCAGGGGTTAGATACCATCCAGCACAAGGGAAGGGTATCTCCTTGGTGACTGCTTTTCTGGAGTCTTTGGGTGGAAATGGGAAAGTAATTCCTTCTTTATTACTGGATTGTGACCTCCATCTTTCGTGGGTGATGCTAAACAGGATTAAAGCAGCTACATTTACTATTGCCTTTCTCTACACTGGAGTACTGTAAAGCAGTATGCAGAGAGCTGTCTGTCTTGCAAAGAGGCAATTCTTGCAGCAGGCTATAGCTGGGGGCTTAGACCTGAGTTGGGTCTTTAGCACTGCTTTAGACCATTGGGAATTCTTTCATGGCAACTGCTTACCTCTACTAGGACTTAGCCCCTCTTTTCTTCAGTGCTGTTTAGGTCTGGTAATGACTTTCCTCTTGTAACTTCTTTCCCAGCCAAACCTTTGTTTTTGTTACATTCACTCATCAGCTGCTTACCCCAAGTAACAGTGATAGGATGAGGGGGAATGGCCACAAGTTGACCCAGATTGTTTCGAGTTGGATATTAAGGGATGTTGGGATGCATTGGAACAGACTGCCAGGGAGGTGGTGGAGTCACTGTCCCTGAATGTGGCCAAGAAATGTGTGGATGTGGCTCTGGAGGATGTGGTCAGTGGACATCCTGGTGTTGGGTCTGTGGTTGGACTTGAAGATCTTAGTGCTCTTTTCCAACCTTTATGGTTCTATGATCTCCAGGACAAAGTGGAAAAAGAGTGCCTTATACATAAGAGTGCCTGATACATAAAACAAATCCAAACTCTACTGAACTTTGTGCTGATTAGAATTTAAATGGCATACTTGCTTTCCACTCTACATTTTCTATGCAACTGTCTTTCAGCTGCAAAAAGAGCCACTGTGACTGGCAGGTACAACCTGATGTGGACCTGTAGTCTCACCCATGTGCTGTTGTTAGCAAGGTCATCTGCACTATTTCCAGAAAAAATCACCACCTCTTAAAGAGAAATTTAGTTCTTTGAAGACAGATATGGAATGTAAAAGGAATCTACTTATATCTGTTTTTCGAAGTGTCAGTTACTCTAAGTTGCTCCTGAGAACTGATGTGTGGACTTTCTCATGACATTTCTTTCTCGGTTTTGGTAAGGATCTGCAAAATGAAATAGTCAGACTCATTCTGCTATAGAATGAAAAAAAAAAAAAAAAAAAGCCAAACATTTAATAATCAGAAAAGCATTTTGTTATTTAAGTAGGCTTACACCAGGCTGTTAAAATCTCAATTACTGTGACTGCAGACTTATAAAATCTAGGATCCAAAGTGTTTACTACTTAAAGAAAATCTGAAAAATCTTCAATTCAAAGACTTGTACTGAAAAGATCTTTCTTTAAAAAGAGTTCCTAGCGTTGTCAATGTGGAGATTACATATTTACAACATTGATGTTAGTGATAAAACCTTAAATTAAAATGGTAACTTATAAATAAACTAATACCCTACACATTTGTCATGTGCTATCATGGCAATTAGTCCAGAGTGTCTGATGTGTAATGTTTCCCTCCTACCTTTTGTTAGGCTGCTCAGGCAGCACTCCTTACACACCCCTGCTGATGACATCGGAATATAATATCTATTTGCTGTCACTGTTAACTTCCTAATACTGGAAATATCTGATTGTTTTCATAACTGTTTCTCATTTCATTTTATTTTTAAACAGTTAGGAAAATATTTTATCTCTCTTTAGCTATGTTGATATGCATACTTTCCTATTGTCTCATGATAACTTCTTTTGGTTTGAGAGAGCCATTTGGAAGGTAAACTACTAATCAGCATTGCTATCTATATATAGATATAGCAAATCATGCTTAAGACCAAAGAAGCTGGATATCTTATATTTGTTTGTCCTACCAAGTACACTGTTCACTCTTCTCTACAAAATGAGCCAATATTCACTATGTGAAGCAGGCAGCTGTAGTAAGAGATGTGTGTGCTTTGAAATTATGTACCTGCTGCTGTTCCTGCAGCTTTCTCTAGAGATTGCTGCAAAATTTGCTCTAGCTTTGAAAAGCAATGGAAATCTTCATCCCTGCAGAACTGCATAAGCCTTATAGTTAAGGGGCAGGTATACCACAAAACAAGTACAATTTTGAAAGTTCAACTCTGTTCTCTGGATTCTTTGCTGGGATCCTGCTGAGATCGTTCAAAACATCAAGGAGAGCTTTCCCCACTGGTTGTGCTGTTCAGATCCTGCAGGAAAGACAAGGAATGACAGTAAGGTTGTGGCAAATTTCTCCATGTTGCACATGCAGAGAGGGGCACTCGGAGCATAGTGGGTCACTTGGCATCATGGCCATGCCACAGGTAGGGGCTGCCAGCCTCAGCATTCCCACCCTTTTAGATCCCAAGCCACTTGTGTTTTATGGAGGCTTTTGGCCTTTACACTGAGTATCATGGGTCCTTCAAGCTTTTTTTGCTTGCTGTTGCTCTATTATATTCCTCTTCAGCTGTGTTTATATGCTGCAGGATAAGTAAGCAAACAGGAACTTTGCTTCTTGACCTAAAGCTCCTTGACCTCATCTGACCTGATGTCTGAACCCAAGCATTTGGTTGGATCTCAGTAACAAGACACTCTCAAGTTAGCTTCTTAAAATAACCTCTGCCAACTGCACTGACCATTGTTAAGAGCCCTTTTCCCTCCTGCCCCCCAAACACCTTCCCTTTCTCAGATAGTGCTGCCATCTTCAGGTATCTCCCAATGCATCTCATTTTATTTCCCAGACGTAGCTCCGAATCACAACTGCTGCTGCACCTGCCTCAGATCTGCAGTCTTCTGAGAACAGAACTGCTTGCTGAATACCATCAGTTGGAATGCTTGGTGTTCATTCTTTATAGACTTAGAAAATGAATCTTCCTTCTCTGAATTTGTTCAGTGACCTCACATGCCCACAAGATATCAACATGGCTCTGAAGAGCCTTTGTGAATCCATGCAGCATTGCCTTCTGCTTCTCTTCCTTGCAGTGATGCTTTCAAAGGCTGAAAGCTCCTGCAAGGACTGGCAGCGATGGGCTCATCTTTTTCTTACCTGACTCCACTTCCCCTTGACTTAATAAGGTCGAAAATTCCTGGTAGGGTAGAGGCCGGTCTTCTGCACCCCAAAGGCCGTGATGAAGATATTGATGATGACTGTGATGAAGATGAGAGCTGTTGCAGCATTGTTGAGTATATTTAGGCGGGGTTGTTTTACCACATCATTCAGGTTCAAACGAGCTGTGTGATTCAGTGCAAAAAAACAAAAGGTCACTTGTGTCTTGACTCCAAGCCCATAAACCCCTGCAAGCCCTCCCTTCCTGGCAAAATTCCATGGTACCCCTGGAAAGGCACATGGAACATCGGAAAGAATACCTCAGGATTTCCTGTTGCCTCAGATCTAATGCCCCAGATAAAGAAAACAGCTACAGTGTACAGGAAATGGTAGTATTCTGCTCACTTTAATACTGGATGTATGTCTGAGGCTGAGGTGTAGGAACTCCTATTTCAGATGAAACATGGAGCAAGCCTTTCTGAGACACTGTTAACTGTCTATATGGCACCAGGAGAACTGGGGGATTGGTTGTATGTCAGTGTAATATAGGGAATATCTCTGCCTATATTTTTCTGTCAGGCCTTAGCTTGGGTGAGTGAAAGCTGAAGCTGAAATGTGTTATTTGCAGGAGCTGTGTGAAGGGACATGCCTTGGGATGCTAAAGGGCATGGATTAGTGATGGGACTCAGTAGGTCAGGTTGACAGTTAGACTTGATGATCTGGAAGGTATTTCTCAACCTCGGTGATCTGATGATGCAGTAGTGCAGACCTGCATCACCAGCGTTGAGCTGCTTCCAACCTCCCCAGAGCCCTGACTGTGGACAGGAGAATGTTTTGGGGCAACGGGCTTTTTCTTTATTCCATCCCCATGCCAGCAGTACTCTGTAGTGATGTGCACGTCTCAGTGGCTACTACCTTACCAGTGATGATGAGAAGGATCCCAATCACCACCTGGAAGAAGAGGGAAATGCTGATGAGCACGATGAGGGTGGTGTAGTACTGGAAGGAAGTTCCCTGCTCCAGCACGGCTTTGAGCTGTGTGACATTTGCCATGAACAGTGCCACATCCAGCATACTCTCTGCCACGCTCTTCTTGGTTGCATAATGGTTGATGTTCATTGGCCCATTAGTCCGCAGATGAGGATTCATGCCCTGGGGAGATAAGAGAAACTGCAAGACCTGATACAACCGCTAAGCTGATGGACCTGTCCATGTCAGGCAAGCTGCTGCATTCCTATGAGGTCTATCCAGAAAGCTGGGAAAGAGTTAAAGCTTGGTGTTTTAAAACCTGTTAAGGGCACCCAGTTTTCCCTCATAGTTATCTTGTGGTGTTAATGGGCACAAAACACTTACGGTGATCAAGAGCTCAGCAAGGTTAGGAAAATAGTGTTTTTGTGGAAAACAAGCTTGTCCAGAGCTATGATAGCCTAGATTACCCAGAGCAAGGGATTTTATAAGCATTATTAAATTCTCTTCCTTCAGGGTACAGACAAGCCCCAGACTTCAGGGGGATTAGAGAGAAATCTTCTTTCTGGCTTTGGTGCTCAAAGGACTTTTAATGGCCGGGCTTTGTATTACAGAATCATGACAGCAGGGGTTGGAAGGGACCTCAAGAAATAGAGACTCAACCCCCCTGCCAATGCAGGTTCTGTGTAATAGGTCACACAGGTAGGCATTCAGACAAGTCTTGAATATCTCCATAGAAGGAGACTCCTCAACCTCTCTGGGCAACCTGCTCCAATGCTTCATTACCTATACCATAAAGAAGTTCTTTCACATGTTTGTGTGGAACTTCCTACGTTCAAGTTTTAGGCCATCATTCCTTGTCCTGTCTCTGCACACCACTGAGAAGAACTGTCTCTGAACCCTTTCTGCTGGTTGCTGTCTTAGACAATGTACCAGAGCAGATATGACAATCCATGTTTTTTCTTGAAACCATGGACACTATTCAAAACATGGAGACATGGGGTGGGATTCAGGTGGGATTCATCACACCTAACTTCAATCATTTGGTTATGTGTCTCATCAGTGGAGAGAAATGGGTATTTACAAGGTGTGGGTTGTCTCATTACAAGGTGTAGGTCATCTAGCTGCTTTTAGCCATTGGCCTTTTCTCTATCATCCTCAGATGAGAAGAGGTTCAGATACATTTGCAAGCTGTGATCTTCTTTCTCAAAAAGAATGAAAAACAACTTGTCCATGTAGCAGACAGGCTTCAGTCTTGGCAATCGGCCTCATCTCAGTTGTCAGTGATGGCTGGCAGCCTTGCCCTCAGCACTGGCTGATGGATAACTCTATAAATACAGAGCAAAGGACAGGAGGAGAGCTCTGAAGGGCCTCTCTTGTTCAGTGGAGTGTGGAAGGGGTTCCTCTAGATGTCTGCTGGCAGTAGGGATGTACCTGCACCAAACTGAGTGCTGCTTTCATCATTTTGTATTAGATAAAGTTTAGGATGTGCACTTTCCCTCAGGCAAACATTGAAAAGAAACTGTGCTGCTGTCTCTGGTCTCCTTGTACGTCTCTGGGAACTTCTGGCTTCTGCCCTGGGCAGGGCCAGTAAACCTGGGAGAGTGTTTTGTGGACATGGGGGTGCAATGGGGCTGTATTTCAGAAGACAATTGTAGATCTCCTTTTTGTGAAAAAGATGTGCAGCAAAAAGAGGAGGACTGTGTCTGGCCTGAACAACTGAGAAGTGTGGCTCCCTAAGGAGAGGCCAGCATAGGGGTAGGGAAGTCCTTCCTCCTATTGAGCTGCAACCGCCTTTACTGGTAGTGAGAAAGGGGACAGTTGCCTGTTCACCTGAGACAGAGCTGAAGATATGGCAACAAAAACAGGCTGCCTCTTCTGTTGTTTTTGAGCTGCTCTGCAGGACTGTTTTGCTAGCTTAAAGCATGTAATTCTTGTGTTTTCTGACACTAAGGCTGCTGTTATTAAGAGGCTTTTCTGAAAGGTCTGTGTTTCTTTGTTGGTTAAGACAAGAGGTAAAGGATGCTAGAAGGAAAATGAAAGACTGGGGAGCCAGTAAGGATTCTAAGACAGAATGTGTGGGTTCAGGGCTTGTTTGATGTCGCTGTTCACTGCAGGAGAGTTGGACTGGATGATCTTTAAGGATTTCTTCCAACCCAAATGATCCAGTGATGTCTGGGACAGCAGAACAGCGGTATCTTATGTCTGGGACAAGGAGGCCAGCAGAAGGTTTGATCCTGGGGATGTCTTCAAGTCCTGGATGTAGGTGCTACACCCTCTCAGCTGGCTGAAGATCACATGAGCCTGTCAAAGCATAGCACTACCTACCTACTTATGTGCAAGGTTTGGAACCTGATCCCTTCTAGTGTACTCCTCGTTTCTGAAGTCAGCCTTCTGCCCGGCAGCATTACAGTGCTGAGCATTGACAATTTATCTCCTTAATGAGGAATGAAGGATGTGAGGACAAGGACTCCCTACAAATCAGACAAAGCCTTTGTCAAACAAGTGACTGGCACGAGGAGGCTGAGGCATCTGTTCCTGGTTGCTTATGTGGAGATGAATCATGTCAGGAGCTCCTGACTTGAATCAGACCTTTCTTTTCACTTGAGCCTCAGCCCCTTTTACCTGCTGTGAGAAATGGGATAGAGTTGCTTGGACAGTTTCTACTGAGCTTTTTTCAAAGAAGGGGGCAAAAACAGAGCAGATCTAACTGCAACTCTGTGTGCCTCATGGGTCTTTTGGCCCCTCTATTTAGGGGGGGGCAGGCTGCAAGAGACAGTAGAATGACATGGGATTGAGAAACGTGAAGGATAATCCTCTTTGTGGGAATGCTTTGGCAGGAGGGGATGTCTGAGGAGAAGCCCTTATTGCCCATCGGTTCCAAGGGAAATGCCGGAGAATGCCAAAGGAAACAGAGGCCTGAATGCAGGCTGTGCATGCTGCAGGGATCACAGCTGATAAGCAGCAGAACAGAGACACAAACAGGGCAATGGGCACTAGGGCAAATCCAGGTTCACTGTCCAGGGTATTTTTCCACAGGATTTGCTGGTTGGCAGCCTTCAAAGCACTCTGTAAACATTGGTTGCTGAAGGTTAAAGCACAAACTCATCTTCTCACGAATTAGGAGGGGTTCCTGGTTCCCTTTCTACAGGCAGAACATGAGGAGATGCTCTCAACCAGCACTTCTGAGGGCGCAGTTATTTGCTACTCCACTTGCTTTGTTCACCTCCTATATCTCACTGCACACCCACAGACAAGCCAGGTGGGGTACTGATACAGGTGAAGTTGTGAATGTACAGTTGGTGAGGCTGTCAGCAGATAGGATGAGAGCAAATGGCATCCAGTTGCTCCAGGGGAGGTTCAGGTTGGATCTTAGGAAAAACTTCTCAGAAGGAGTGGTGCTGCACTGCACAGGCTGCCCAGGGAGGTGGTGGAGTCACCATCCCTGGAGGTGTTCAAGAACTGTGCAGATGTGGCACTAAGGGATGTGGTTTTTGGTGGTAGGTGGATGTTTGGACTGGATGATGTTAGAGGTCTATTCCAACCTTAATATTTCTATGATTCAGAGCCTCTCCTTTATCCAGCTCCAATGCTGGCACTGCATTCCTGCTACAACTCCATGCAGGAGTTGGAAGGCCAGCAGTGAAACCTAACTGGTGGCTGGCAACAGAGGAGAGGAGGAGGGGAATCACGAGGCAGCAGAGCCCCATGAGAGCCTGTCCCAGCCCTTGCCCTCCGGCTGACACAGCAGCAGGGCTGTGCCTCCTGCCTGGTTGCAGCACTCGCAGCCTGCAGAGACCTGCTTGTCGCATCAGGCACGTGTGTGTTGAGCTGCCTCTCCCAGCTCTCATCTCACTTATCCTGTGAGACCCAAACTGCCTGCATCCTTCTGTTCTTCAACTGCCCTCTCCTTTCATCCTCTCCCTCGATTTTCTTCTTTGCTGTTTCCCCACACTGTGCCTATCACTTTGTCTTTCACATTTTTGTTCTGAGTTATCGAGCTCCTTTCCTACACTTGGGGTGCTGTCTCCTTCCCCCCTCCCCCCCCAATTTTTCTTCTTTTGGTACAGCTCTATGGTGAGTTCCTTGAATCTGTCACTGCCTGTGCTACAGGGCAGTATAAATCATGTACTGCACAAATAACTGTCTGACCAAACCTGTATTAAACTCCCTCGTTAAGTGTATTTATTATACTCAATTGAGGGGATCCAGGAATCAGCTGGCAGGCTGCAGGGCAGAGCTGAAATAAAAGACAAGTTTTCTTTTCCTCTGTTCCTCTGGCTACTTGGAAAGGCAAAGGCAGTGTTAGAGGAGCCTTCATCCATAGCTCAGGAGCAGTGGGTGGGTTTGGGGGGCAAAAACATTTTGTGGCACCAGCAACTATGCTGTGCTAATGCATGGTTCCTGGCTGCTGAACAGAAGTGATTGAGTGGAGGTGTGTAGCAGAGGGAGAACAGCTCATTGAACACATACGATGTGATCAGCAGGAAGAATTATTTCCAAAGCCAGGATATTGGTGCTGGAGCCTCTTCAAGTCACTTGTGTTTAGCATCCAGAGCAGATTCCTCCTGGTGTTTGGGAAGAGAAAAAGAGAAGGCAAGAGAAGGCTAAAAACAGCTTTACAGGAAGAGTGTGTGGGGGGGAAAGTAGGTTAGCAGAGAAAATGAGTTTATAAAAAATGGAAGAGCAGCCGGGAGGCACAACAGTAACTACTGCATTGTGCTTACAAAGCTAAACATGTTAAGATGAATAAATCCCCAAGCTGGATGGCTTATGGCCTAAAATATTAAGAAAAGCTGGGCCAGATCTCAGTCTGCAGCCAGATCCAAAGAGCAAATGTGTTTGCATCAATCATTTTGATTCTTAAGCGTTTCTTGGGGGAGGTCTTAAATCTGGACTTCTTCCATGTCGAAGGGTGTCTGCACCCTTTGCTGTGGGTCAGGCTTATTTCTGAAACTGGGGGAACAGACCGACAGCTGTGCAGGGTTAGATCAAAGGGCCATCTCCCCTCTGACTCTGGTTCCTAGCAGATGCCCAGAGGTAAAACTACTGGAATAGGACAAGCACAAGTAAGGGTCTCTTGTGATCTGTTGGCACAGTGACCTGCAACTATTTAGAACTACCCCAGCAATGAGCCAGTGCTATTTTTCAGGGTGGAAAGCCTCATCTATGCATCCCTGTCTTGC